GCTCATTTGTGGGCAAGACAGTTTTCACTTCTCTATCAGTTGCTCAGTTGCTCAGGTATGTTACAGCAGGGCAGGTCCAGCTGATGGGGTGTTGCTGGGATGGGTTATTTGTGGCACATACTAAGGTCAACAAGGTGGCTGGGAATCAGTATAGGGCACTTTCTAGTAGGCCGTGCCTGTGCTGCTCGGGGGTGTGATGTTCAGCACATGGTGCACATAAGCAGGAAGGAGGGGAGAGATTGTGATGTGTGGAGCTAAGATGGGCATGGGAAAGAGGAGAGAGGAACAGAAGCCAAAAACACAAATGAAGAAACAAACAAAAAAGAGTGCTAAGGGAGGTTGCCACTGGAGTGGATAGATGGGAGACTGCAAAACAGAGAAAAACAAAAAGAAAAAAAAGAAAAAGGGTAAAAGGAAAAAAATGAATAAATAAAAATTAGAAAAGAGAAGAAAAGAAAAGCTCCCAGGGATCCCACCAGTGTGGCTGTGAGGACTGGAGAAGTTGCTCCCAGGCCATGAAGTACAGCCTGGCCAGAAGAAGTAGAGGTGTCACACAGCACCAGGTATTCAGGAGACAGGAGGAGAAGGTAAGTATAGAGAGACAAGAAACTGATAAATGAAGAAAGACAAAAAGGGAAAAAGAGATAAAAGGAAACAAAACAAACAAACAATTAAAAAAAACCCAAAACAAAGCAAACTAGATAATAGAAATGTCCCCAGGGATCCCACTGTGTGGCTATGCAGACCGAGGGAGTAGCTCCAAAGCCGTGCAGTACTGTCTGGCTAGAAGCAACTCCCAAGCTGAGAAAAGAAAAAGGAGACAAACAAGCAAACAAACCCAAACAGAACAAATCAAAATAAACAAACAAAAAAAAGCCCCTGGGTTCCCACCAGCATTGTGGCACTGGCCAGGAAGCTGTTCCACAGTCGAGCGGCATTTCACAGCCTTCAGGAAGAAGTAAATATGGGACACGGAGCCAGGTATTTGAGAGAAAGGAGGGGGAGGTGGTGAGAGGTATGGAAGAAACCAAAAGAAGTGGAAAAAAGCAACACCAGCAACCATCAAATAGCACTCAAGGAGCCAGCCAGTGAGGGCAGGTGGAATCCAAATGGCACAGGGCTGAAGCCTGTGCTTTCCGGCCAAGAGACTGTGGCTGTAGGAAGCAAAGGAGGCTGAGAGGGGTTGAAGAAGGGTGGGGGTGGGAAAGTGTATATCACTGGTTACCGGTTGTTCTGTATCCTGCTTGGAGCTCCGTGAAGCTACTTTCCCATACTCCCTGTTCGCCGATCTCCGGCAGGAGTCCAAGACGGTGGATCAATGCTGCGGTAGTTGATGGGGACTTCTGCATGTATCTCTCCTTGCTCTCTGTTTTCTATCAGTTTCTTATTGCATTTGGTGCTTGGCTCATGCTTAGGGTTTCAGGACGGATGTTTGTCTCTTTTTGTCTTAGTTTTTCAGATCTTTGCTGTGGAGGGAAGGCATGGTGCTTCTGTCTATAGTGCCATGTTGCTCAGAAGTCCTCTGCCTTGCATTTCTGAATGCCTACTTGAGTCTTCCATTCTCAGGACACATTTGGCGAGAAGGCTGTACCTGATTCATAGAAAAGCCAAAAGAGGGAAATCCTCTCTCTGCTCAAGTGATGCTCTCGCCCACCCTCTGCCCTAAACGTGCAACTGTGATTCTCATCATGCATTTTCCTGGTTGAGAAACAGGAATCTGAAAACCTGAAAGAAGCATAATGTGGGTACATTAAAAATAAATGCCCATTGTACAACTCAGGGGAAGTAAGTCATCCTTCCCCAAAGTTGTTTGTAACAACCATCTCACAGTTATCTGTAGGGGGACAATTTTAGCTTCTCCCTGCTTTTCTACTTCAGCCTATAAAATGTGAACAATTATCTTCTTGGAGTTAAATGTACACAGTCTCTTATCTGAAACCCATGGTGACATGTGTGTTTACAAGTTCAGAATTGTCTGACTTTTTAGAAAGGGATTATGATGTATTTGCTGTAGATTTTACATAATCCCAATGGAGTATGTAGTAGCAGCATATATATATATGTGTATGTATACACACAATTTTTTAAAGAGAATATGTGAATATTTAATCAAAGTGAGGTGAATAAGGAATATGAACAGGTTCACTTCAGTTCAAGTCATGTTTGGCCACCAAATGAAGTTGCACCAAACTTAGCTTTTTACAATTTTTTCATAGCTTTTAGTATTACAGAATAAGAATGAAGATTTTTGGTTAGATTTGGTATGACTATTTCAATACCAACAAATTAACAGTAAATAAAATTAAAAATTCAGTTCCTTAGTTGCAGTAACCATTTCACGTACTCAGGCACATGTCCCTACTGGCTACTATATATGACAGCACAGATATAAGACATTTCCATCATTGCAGAAAGTTCTATGGGTATGGCTGCCTTAAATCAGTTGTCAACAAATCACAGCCCATGGGAGGGCCAAATCCAATCTGCTATCTGTTTTATGTTTGTCTTTTGTTTGTTTTTAATAGTTATTCATGTGAAATTCATATAATATAAATTAACAATTTTAAAGTGAGAAATTCAGTGGCATTAAGCATGGTTACAATGTTGTGCATCCACTACCTCTCTCTAGTTCCAAAACATTAGTATCACTCCTAAGTAAAAACACTTACCTACTAAGTTTATCCCCATTATCCTTCCACAAGCTCCAATCTGTGTTCTCTGTCTGTATGGATTTATCTAATATGGATATTTCACACAAGTGTAATAATATAACATGTAATCTTTTGTGTCTGCTTCTTAGGAGATTTTTTTTGCTTCATTGCTGGTGTATAGAAACACAACTGATTTTTGCAGGTTGATTTTGTACTCTGCAACTTTGCTGAATTTGTTTATTAGCTTTAGAAGTTATTTTTGTAGATTCTTTGGAATCTTCTATATATAGAATCATGTGATCTGAGAATAGAGATTGTTTTTGAACCTTACCAAACTCACAATTCCCCCACTCCCAACAATTTTTTTAGTTTTCTTAATTTCCTGTAATAGCAATATGTGCTGGCTTCAAGTGAGATGAGGTAGCTTGAACATACAAGTAGACACCATGTGTTAGAAGGCCTTGGAAAGCTGCTGAGACACAAATTGTTCTCAAGATTCCAAAGACAGAAGAACCTAAGAGGGATAAGTTGAGATGCACAGTCCATTTTGGGTTGAGTTTATTTGTTGGCTCTTAATGAGGAAAGGAGGTGTTACATCATTCTGTCTAGTGAAGGAGGGCTGAAACTTTTCTGGAAGAAGTTAAACATCAGGTGAGCCTCTGCATGTTTTCACATGTAATATCTGGCACTTAACAAAAAGTATTAGGCATTCCAGAAGGCAGAAACAAGTGACCACAGAAAGAAGAGAGAGGGAGGGAAAAGGCAATAAAAGTAGACTCACAGCAAGGAACAGTTCTCACCTCACTTTATGAGGCCAACATTACCTTGCTGCCAGAAATAAGACAAGAATTTTTCAGAAAGAATATTTGTAGACCAGTCTCTTTTATAATTTTAAATACAAAAGTCCTGAACAAAATGTAGGTAATGAAATCCAGATGTGTGCCTATATGAATATACAAAATATATTATAGTGGGGACATGGAGGCCAAAAGTTATAATCATATCAATAGATGCAAATAAAGCATTTGAGAAAATTATACACATACTCATGATAAATATTATGGAAAAATAAGAGAAGACAGAGAACTTCCTTAAATTGATAAAGAGCATCTACAAAAATATACATAAAACTTATTCTCAGTGTTGCAATACTAAATACTCAGCCCTTCCTGGAGATCAGAAATGAATCAAGGATTCTCCCTGTCACTACTTCTATTCAATACTATCCTAGGAATCCTAGGCAGTGCCATGATGCAATATAGAGGTATGGAAGTCACAAGAATTAGAAAATAAAAACAAATGTTAAGCCAGATTATAGAATTTTTGTTCTGCTTATTGTGTGCCACTGAGTCAATTCCAACTCATAGTGACTCTATAGAAGCCATGTAGGGCTTCCTAGCTATAATCTTTACAGGAACGGGTTGCCAGGTCTTTTCTCCCTTGGAGCCATTGATGGATTCAAACAGCTGACCTTTTGGTTGGCATCCAAGCATTTAACCATTCCACCACCAGGGCTCCTATTTTGTACACAGACATTCCAAGTGAATCCACAAGCAAATCGTTTGCAATGATAAGACAATTTAACAAGGTTGCTGGATAAAAGGTCAACAAAAGTAATAAAATCAGATGTACTTACATTTACTTTGAACAAAAAATATTACATAAAATGTGTTGTACAATTTATAATACATCAAAAATATTAATTACTTCAGCCAAACCTAAGGAAAGATGTGCAAGCCACTTCACTGAAAACAAAGCATTACTGAGAAAATTAAAGAAAGCCCAAATAGACTGGTAGCATATACCATATTCATGAACTGAAAGATCCAACATGTCAAGATGTCATTTCTTTCCAAGTTGACCTATTGATTTAATGTCACCCTAATAAAAATCCGAGCAGTGTTTTGGTAAATTGACAAACTGTACTAAAATCTATTTGGAAATGTAAACATCTAAGAGACACCTAAACAATCTTAAAGAAGTAAAACAAGTTTGTAAGACTTACACTGCCAGACATCAAGCCCCTGAAAAACCAAACCCTTTGCCTTCGAGTCAATTCCAACTCTTAGCTACTCTATAGGACAGAGCAGAACTGCCCCATAGGGTTTCCAAGGAATGGCTGGGGGATTTGAACTGCTGACCTTTTAGTTAGCAGCCAGGCTCTTAACCACTGAAACACCAGGGCTCCAAGGCTTGTAATAAAGCTTTGCATCTCCAAACTGGAAACAACACAAAATCCATCAACCCACACTTGTGATTTTTGCACTTTTCTCATCCTGTGTTGGTTGAGAACTGGAACCATACTGGGAACATGGGGACTTTAAGAGAACTTGGAGAAACAAATCTTACCTTGGGGATGAAGTAGTTCCTGAATTTAATGTCACGGGTCACTGCATGGGGCAGGTTGTTGGGGATGATGTCAATGTATCTCTGAATCTCGTGCACCACGGCATCCGTGTACGGCATGCTGCTCCTGTCCTGCATACAGGGGCTCCGGTGTCTGCCAACCACATGGTTGATCTCTTCCTGGATTTTAGCTGATAAGACATAAATAAGAACTGATGAAAAGGAGAAAATTGGCACATTTACCATAGCAATTCAGCATTACGTGACACATCATGAAATTGTCCCAATATCATTATAACTTACGTTATATGCCCAGAAGTGCATCTAGACAGAGAGAAAGAATTGCTACAATGCAGACACATATACCACAACCTGTCTGTCAGTATGTTGTACTGTGATGGCTTTTGTGTTGCTACGACGCTGGAAGCTACACTACCAGTATTTCAAATACCAGCAGGGTCATCCATGGTGGACAAGTTTCAGTGGAGCTTCCAGACTAAGATACACTAGGATGTAAGGCTTGGTGATCTATTTCTGAAAATTAGTCATTGAAATCCCATGGATCACAACAACAAATTTTCCAATATAATTCTGGAGCACGAAGGCCATAGGTTGAAAGGTACTCAAAATACACGGTGACTGCAACAATGGACTCAAGTATACCAACAATCATGAAGATGGTACAGGATCTGGTAACGTTTTGTTCTGTTGTACATGGGATCACCATGAGTGAGAATCACCTTGATGGCAATTATCAACAATAACAGACACATACAACTCTCTTATAAGCTAGGCCCTGACATGAATATGTACATATCTACATAGTAGCATACAGAGTAACTAATACCAAGAAAAATGATAAAATGCTTCAAAATATAAGCACTTAGCGCACAATAAACTCAAGAAATTACTGTCCTTGCAGAAAGGTAAACAGGTATCAAATATAAATTTAGATCAAAATAATATATGGTGTTAAATATTAAATTTTACTAAAAGATCTATACATATACTTGTGTGTGTTTGTGTCTGTGCAATTTCCAATAGTACTCTTTGCATCCCCACTCCCAAAGGCAGTCACTTTGAAACATTCTAGCAATTTCTTCTGAAATTTATGTTCATATTTCTAATCAGTGACTCTATTTCCATTTCCATTTCCTAATTTTCCCATTTTTAGACAATATCTAATGACTACTAGCTATGGATTCAGAAGAGGACAGGGCACGAGGAATATCATTACAGATGTCAAATGGTTGTTGGCCGAAAGCAGAGAATACCAGAAAGGTGTTTACCTATGTTTTATTGACTACCCAAAGGTATTTGACTGTGTGGACCATAACAAATTATGGATAATATTGTGAAGAATGGGAATTCCAGAGCACTTAGTTGTGCTTATGCAGAACCTATACATAGACCAAGAGGCAGTCGTTCAAAAAGAACAAGGATATACTGTGAGGTTGAAAATCAGAAAAGGTGTTTGTTAGCATTGTATCCTGTCACAATACTTATGAAATCTGTATGTTGAGCAAATAATCTGAGAAGCTGGACTATATGAAGAAGAACGAGGCATAAGGATTGGAGAAAGACAGATTAACAACCTGCAATATGCAGATGACACAATCTTGCTCACCGAAAGTGAAGAGAAGAAGCACTTATGATAAAGATCAAAGACTACAGCCTTCAGTATGGATTACACTTCAAGATAAAGAAAGCAAAAATCAAAAATCATAACAAATGGAGCAATAAGCAACATCATGATAAACAGAGAAAATATTGCAGTTGTCAAGGATTTCATTTTTCTTGGATTTACAGTCAACACTCATGGAAGCAGCAGTCAAGAAATCAAATGACATATTGCATTAGGAAAATCTGCTCCAAAAGACCTCTTTAAAGTGTTAAAAAGCAAAGATGAGGACTAAGTTGTACCTGACCCAAGTTATGGTATTTTCAATTGCCTCATATGTGTGTGAAAACTGTACGACGAATAAGGAATACCGAAGAAGAATTGATACCTTTGAATTATGGTGTTGGCAAAGAATATTTAATATACTATGGACTTCCAGAAGAATAAAGAAATCTGTCCTGGAAGAAGGACAACGAGAATGCTCCTCAGAAGGGAGGATGGCAAGATTTCGTCTCATGTACTTTGGACATGTTATCAGGAGGGATCACTCTCGGAGAAGGACATCCTGCTTGGTAAAGTAGAGGGTCAGCGAAAAAGAGGAAGACCCTCAATGAGATGGATGGACACAGTAGCTGCAACAATGGGCTTAAACATTCCAAAGATTGTGAGGATGGCCCTGTACCAAGCAGTGTTTCATTTTGTTGTACATAGGTTCACTATGAGTTGGAATCAATTTGATGACATCTAATATCAACAACAACCATGGATGGGACTTGAGGATTTACAAGTTCATCTCATCCCTTGATATAAAACACACACACACATGCATGCACACACATGCACACATAATGCACATACACTCATATATACTTTTCCCACTCAATTCTACTTTATATTGATATCACCATTTTTAGTTATTTCAATATTCATTTTTTACATCATTGTGACTACATAAATATTGTTTCCTGCTTCCTTAAACTTTCCTGCCTCAGATACTCCTTAAGGAATCCTGACACCGCGCCAGAGCTTTATCACATTTACTACTGACACACTGCCCTTCCCTTTTGTCAGTCACCCTCCCCTATTGTGCAAAGTTGTCTCTTTTTTAACCCTTCATCACATTTGGACAAATTACACCTGGTGGCACAAAAATTTAAATAATGAGTCTTCTCTAAAGAAACATGATGGAAAACACTAGCTGTGTCTTGCCAACTTCCTTTCTGAATTTCACCCTGCCCACCATCTGTGGTCATACCTGAGACCTTGGGGTGTTTCATCAGAAGCAGGAGTCCGTATCTCAAGGTGGTACTTGTCCCTGTCCCAGCAACAAACAGATCAGATACTGTGATTATCAAATTTTCAGTAATAAATTCAGACTCTTGATTGTGCTTCTCCTAGGAATGATTTGACACAATATTGACAAGTTAGTTTGCCAGCATGTTAAATTACAATGCATCCAAAGCAACTCAGGTTTTTCTAAAGTTAAGCAAACCTAGAAACTGGAAAGTACAGTTTTATAAAATAGTGGGTTTTTTTAAATGTAATACTGTTTATTTAACTTCAAAAACATTTCCACATCCTAAACATACAAAAAAATAATAGAACGTTGCAAATTGTGTTTAAGTACAGAAGGTTCTTGAACTTCCACTGATGCAATCAGTGGCTTTTCACTCTGATGACAATGAAGAGTTCTACATTTTGTTTAAAAAGAAACAGTTTAAAAACTACCGCGCTTACTAAAAAAAAACCCAAAACACTTCTCATGTCAGCTGACCCCCCTTTTCCGCAGCTAAGAATGGCAATAGATGCTGTTGCTATATAAAAACAAGACAACCGGAAGCCCACTGCAGTGTCAACAGGTCAGCTTCGCAGTGCATGCCCAGAGCTCCGGCCCCTCCAAAGGGCATCCACTTACCCCAGCCTCAATGCCAAGCACGGAACACCAAGAGTTTGTTCCAGCTGTTTTGTTCTTTTTACAAACTGTAGATATATACAGTTGATAACTCAGGATTTCTAGCCAATAAGCATAGTTAACACCACCTTACAAATCAAACAAACAAATGCCAAAAACATCTTTAAATGCCTTGTCACACCAACAGCAAAGCGCACAGAGTGAGGAGAACACGAGAGGGCCTTTTCTTTTTAAAAATGTTTGGAAATATGTACAACTTTGATACAGTTGTACATATTTTGACAGTGTATGTTTCTATCTCTTTATCATTTTTGTACTTGACAAAAAATTTCATTTCGCAGTTTCTTTTGCAGTTACATGGGCCATACAACATTGTTCTTGCCAATGAGCTATAAAGCAAAAGTCTGCTGGCACCGCTTCTTCTCTTTCCTGCTTGTTACTCAAAATCCAGAGGTGAAGGTGCAAGTTGGCCAAACACCATCTCGGGACATGAGGATTGAAGCACGGAGATAAAGACCTATATACTAAATCTGGTGAAGGCAAATGGAAGACACCTGACTCCTTGGTGCTTCAAGACTATTGTACTTGCCTGGACTCCCCACTTGAGACTGTTTGTGAGATAAACCCACTGTATGTTTAAGCCATTGTTAATTAAGTTCCCTTTTATTTAAAGACAAAACCCAATCTTAATTGATAGACCTGCATAAATTTAGGGCCATATCATGAAAGATATCAGCCTGAATCAAGACTTTACAACTGTCTTCTTCGTTTAAAGTATTTATATGGACTCAGTATTGCTTGAAAACTCATCATGAAGTTTAAATTGTTCAAAAGTTTATATGGCAGCACAGCCTAGAATGAATTATAGGGAAAGAATATGAGATTCACAAAGACAAGATGGACAGCAGTGTTGTATTCCAGATGTGATACCACAGGCAATTTGGTCTGGTGAACAACTGCAGAAATGGACAGGAATATACAAATTAAAGAGACACAACAAACATGAAGACAGAGAGTTACGGCATTAATGGTCCATAATGGGTGAAGGAGAGAGCAGGGATAATGCAGATACAATGGGACTGAATGAATAGAGGAGCTCTCATGAGTTGGAAGTTGGAAGAGGAAAAGCACTTGACAAGAACAACTAAGGTTGGTTTAGGACTAGAGGATGATGGGACACTGAATAGACAATAAAAAAGGGACAGTTTGAAATATTGACTGGAGGGGGTCATTAACATAACTAAAGAAAACCCTTTTTCTAACCATTACACTAGGCCAGCATTATTTTAATGAAGCGCTTATAATCTTCATGTGACCTGTGGTATATCTAACATTATACTATTAACCCCATTAAGACTGACTTAACCCTATCAATGGGTGTACATGCTAGATAAATCTAGTCATCTCCCTTGATAACATCAACTTCATTGTTTTTAAGCTCATCAACTCACACTTCATCTAAATCCAGGAAAGAGACCAGAGTACATATAAACCGATATTAATCTTTTCATCTTTTCAAGTGGATTTGGAGATCAGTAGTTACCTGTGCATAAACCAAAAAAACAAAACAAAACAAAAAACAACAACAACAAAAAACCTATTTCAATCGAGTTGATTCAGACTTATAGTAGAACTGCCCCATAGGGTTTCCAAGGAGTGGCTGCTGGATTCAAACTGCCGACTTTTTGGTTAGCTGCTGAGCTCTTAACCACTGTGCAAGATAGATTACACAAAACTTCGTTGAAAGGAATTAAAGAACGCCTACATAAGTGAAAAGATATTTCATATTCATAGATGTAACACTTAATACTGTTAACATAGCATTACTCCCATAATATATCTACAGATCTAATGAGATCCCTATCAAAATAAAAACTATCTTCTTTTTCGGAAATTGGTGAGCTTATCCTAAAAATTAGGGCTAGGAGGGTTGCAAGAAAATGGAGATGACTGTTAAAGGGTACGTGGCTCTTTTCAGGTTGATGACAATATTCTGAAATTGATGGTGGTTATGGCTGCACACCACCACATGTCTGTCAGTTTGTCATACTGTGGTAGCTTGCATATTGCTGTGATACTGGAAGCTTTGCCACTGGTATTTCAAATACCTGCAGGGTCACCCAAGGTGGATAGGTTTCAGCAGAACATCCAGATGAAGAAAGACGAGGAAGAAGGAACTGGCAGTCTACTTCTGAAAATATTGGCCAATGAAATCCTTATGAATAGGAGCATAATATTATCTGATATAGTGCCAGAAGTTGAGCCTCTCAGGTTGGAAAGCACTTAAAATACTACTGGGAAAAAGCTGTCTCCTCGTAGCAGATTTAACCTTAATGATGTGGATGGAGTCAATCTTTCGGGACTGTCATTTGCTGATGTGGCATGACTGAAAATGAGAAGAAACAGCTGCAAACATCCATTAATAATCGAAACATGAATGTATGAAGTTATGAGTCTAGGAAAATTAGAAGTGGTCAGAAATGAAATGGAACACATAAAGATCGATATCCTAGGCATTAGTGAGCTGAAGTGGACTGGTATTGGCCATTTTGAATCAATCATATGGTCTACTATGCCAGGAATGACAAATTGAAGAGGAATGGCACTTCATTCATCATCAAAAAGAACATTTCAAGGTTTATCCTGAAGTACAACACTTTCAGTGATAGGATAATATTCACATGCCTACAAGGAAGATCAGTTAATATGACCATTATTCAAATTTACACACCAACTACTAATGCCAAAGGTGAGGAAATTGAAGATTTTTACCAACTTCTGCAGTTGAAATTTATCAAACATGTAATCAAGAAGCATGATAATTACTGGTGATTGGAATGTGACAGTTGGAAACAAAGAAGAATGATGGGTAGTTGGAAAATACGACCTTGGTGATAGAGACTACGCTGGAGCTCGAATGATAGAATTTTGCAAGACCACTGACTTATTCATTGCAAATACCTTTTCTCAACAATATAAATGGCAACTATACACGTGGACCTCACTGGCTGGAAAACACTGGAATCAAATTGACTACATTTGTGGAAAGAGATGCTGGAAAATCTCAGTATCATCTGTCAGAACAAGGTCATGGGCAAACTGCAGAACAGACCATCAATTGCTCATATGCAAGTTCAAGTTGAAGCTGAAGAAAATTAAAACAAGTACAAAAAAGCCAAAATATGACCTTGAGTATATCCCACCTGAATTTGGAAACCATCTCAAGAACAGATTTGATTCATTGAAAACTAATGACTGAAGACCAGACAAGTCGTGGGAAGACATCAAGGACACATACATGAAGAAAGCAAGAGGTCATTAAAAAGACAAGAAAGAAAGAAAAGACCAAAATAGATGTCAGAAGAGACTCTGAAACTTGTTCTTGAATATAGAGTAATTAACACAAAAGGAATAAATGATGAAGTAAAAGAGCTAAACAGAATATTTCAAAGAGCAGCTTGAGAAGACAAAGTTTATAATGAAATGTGCAAAGACCTGGAGTTAGGAAACCAAAAGGGAAGAACACGTTTGCATTTCTCAAGCTGAAAGAACTGAAGAAAAAATTCAAGCTTCCAGTTCCAAGTTTGAAGGATTCTATGGTAAAATATTTATTGATGCATGAAGCATCAAAAGAAGATGGAAGGAATACATAGAGTCACTGTACCAAAAAGAATTGATCGACAGTCAGCCATTTCAGGAGGTACCATATGATCAAGAACCAATGGTACAGAAGGAGGAAGTCAAAGCTGCACTGGAGGCACTGATGAAAAACAAGGCTCCAGGAATTTGCAGAATACCAATTGAGATGTTTCAACAAAGGGATACATTGTTTGAGGTGCTCACTTGTCTATGCCAAGAAATTTGGAAGACAGCTACCTGGCCAATTAAGTGGAAGAGATCCACATTTGTGCCCATTCAAAGAAGGGTGAACCAACAGAACGTGAAAATGATTGAACAATATCATTGATATCACACAAAATTAAAATTGCTGTAGCTCATTCAAAAGTGATTGTGGCAGTGCATTGACAGGGAACTTCCAGAAATTCAAGCTGGATTTAAAAGAGGATGTGGAATGAGGGATATCATTGCTGATGTCAGATGGATCTTGGCTGAAAGCACAGAATACCAGAAAGGTGTTTACCTGTGTTTTATTGACTATGCAAAGGCATTCTACTGTGTGGATCATAACAAATTATGGATAATATTGTGAAGAATGGGAATTCCAGAACACTTAATTGTGCTCTTGTGGAATCTGTACATAGACCAACTGGCAGTTCTTTGAACAGAGCAAGGGGATACTGCATGGTTTAAAATCAAGAAAGGTGTGCATCAGTGTTGTATCCTTTCACTGCACTAATTCAATCTGTATGCTGAGCAAATAATCTGAGATGCTGGGCTACAGAAAGAAGAATGTGGCATCAGGATTGGTGGAAGACTCATTAACAACCTGCAATACGCAGATGACACAACCTTGTTTGCTGAGAGTGAAGAGGAGTTGAAGCGCTTACTGTTGATGATCAAACACTACAGCTTTCAGTATGGATTACACCTCAACATAAAGGAAACAAAAATCCTCACAACTGGACCAATAAGCAACATCATGATAAATGGAGAAAAGATTGACATTGTCAAGGGTTTCATTTTACTTGGATCCACAATTAACACCCACGGAAGCAGCACTCAGGAAAGAAAACGACATATTGCATTGGGCAAATTTGCTGCAAAAGACCTCTTTAAAGTGTTTACCATCAAAGATGTCACTTTGAAGACCAAGGTGCACCTGACTCAAGCCATGATATTTTCAATCACCTCATACGCATGTGAAAGCTGGACAATGAATAAGAAACACCAAAGGAGAATTGATGTCTGTTAACTATGGTGTTGGTGAAAAATATTGAATGTACCATGGACTGCCAGAAGAATGAACAAGTCTGTCTTGGAAGAAATACAACCAGAGAGCTCCTTGGAAGTGAGGATGGTGAGGCTCGTCTCCCTTACTTTAGACATGTTATCAGAAGGGACCAGTCCCTGGAGAAGGACACCATGCTTGGTAAAGGAGAGGGTGAGTGAAAAAGAGGAAGACCCTCAACAAGATAGATTGACACAGCGGCTGCAGCAATGGGCTCAGAGCATAACAATGATTGTGAGGATGGCACAGGATCGAGCAGTGTTTTGTTCTGTTGTACACAGGGTCACCACAACTCATAAATGACTGGATGGCAACTAGCAACAACATGTCTGCAGATCTCTGAATAAACTAAAAATCGTTGAAGTATACACTTTAAATGGGTGAAATGTGTGATATATAAATTATATCTCAATTTAAATTTAACAAAAAAATTAATCTAGCCTCTAAATACAATAATTATGCCCAGAAAAACAATGCTGTTTTTAAATATAACATTGAAGTAAATGTTGTTGTTGTTAGTTGCTGTCCCGTTGTCTCCAGCTCAAGGTTACCTTGTAATTGAAATACCAGAGACCATAGAGCCTTCCTCTACCTGGGAAAACTGGAGAGGGTTCAAAGCATTAAGGAATCCCCTGTAAATGTGAGCAAAATACTGAGAACTCATGTAGATGCATTGGTAAAAATCATGCAGGTGCAACTCACGTGGACACTTCTGAGAAAATATCTCCATACTTTTAATCAGATTCTCAAAATAACTGGACCACAGGAAAGGATAAAAATTATTGCACTAGCAGCAGAGAAGGCAGACAGAGGAAGTGATTTGCTTCTTCCCTCCCCCAGGTTCTTCCAACCATTCCATCTCCTTTACAACATTCCATCTGGAATACATGATTTAAACTTTAAACCGTCTGGGTCAAATTCCATGAATAATTCTGTGAATTTACCTCCTTCATTCCCATTTTGGACTACTAACTGACTTCTGTTTCCTGTCTAGTGCTGAAAACAGTGGCTGAATACAATAATGGTAGCCCCAGAGGAAGGAATCTCCTTCAGAGCTAGCATTTTTCTGTGTGTTCTGAATTCTACCTTTCTCCATTTCAATGAGAACCTTGTACCTAAGCATATATCTTTATGGCATCTATAGTACTCTGTTACACAGATTTTTGACCTGACCTTATTATCATTCAAATTCAGCAACCAAATCATTCTCGCTTTGCTTAAACTTTTCAAATATGATGTCTTGTCTCATTACTAAAATTTCACACACAAGCCCCTGTAATTTGGCTCCCATCCTCCCCTCTCTCCTAAAACCATACTCTATAAGGCTCCTAAACACACTTAACCAAATTCACAGGCCTTTCCAAGTATAACATTCTTCACGTCCCTATTTTGATTCATTTCTTCTTTGACTTCCTTGGTACTGCCTCATTGATTCTCTTCCTAGATCTTTGAGAACACAACAAAACGGAAAACTTTCATTTTATTTCAGACACCTCTGCATTTCGGATCCACAAGCTCAATGAAACCAAGTCTAAATAAATGAAAAATCTCCCAGATGGTCTTTGAGCTCCATTCTCATCATATAGATTGTTCTACAGATACCAGGATAATTTCCCTAAAATTATCCTATCCTTTTATGACCTATCTGATAAATTACCTATTGGATCAGATCAGAACTTTCCACGCCAGCATTTATGTTTACAGGTTACCTGAAAGAAACCAACATTAAATTCCATATCTGTCCAAATTCATGTTTGGAAATACACAATGCAGGCTTTGCTCTTCCATCTCCTTTCTCTCTTTGACACCACACTCCTCTCATCTGTACACCATTCAGCTCATCTGTAATGCCCTTTCCTGTCCCTCATTGAAAATATATTAAGATCTACACCAAACCTCAAAACATGCAGAAAGTTTACCTAAGCCAAGCCTTTCCTTCTCCCTATGTGCAATGATCATTTGTATCTTCATTTGGTGGCCTGATATTTCATATATTTTAGCTTATTGGTAATTGATTATATTTCACCTGAGGTGTGCATTCTGTTTCTCTTCAGGCAGATTCATTACCACCTAAAGAACATGGTTCATGCCCTCTAATTATTTAACTGTTCAACTTTAAATTATTCCATGATGCTTAGTGCAGATCAATGCATGCAGAGGTACTAAAAGTGCTTGTCAAGCATTTCTTGCCTGACCATTTATCTATCCCTAATAAGTACAAGGAGCCTTGGTGGTGTACTGGTTAAGTGTTATGGCTGCTAACCAAAAGGTCAGCAGTTTGAATCCACCAGACACTCCTTGGAAACCCTATGGGGCAGTTCAACTCTGACCTGTAGGGTTGCTATGAGTCAGAATTGTCTCAATGGCAACTAATTTGTTTTTTAGTAAGTACAGAACTATTCAATGATCCACAAAATGCACAAGCAAACAAATAACGGTTTGGCCTCTAACATCTTACCTGTTCCATTTTGATGAGGAAACAATCAATGAAGTCCCGGGGATTGTTAATGTCCAAGGATTCTTGATGTTCTTTCACTTTTTCCAAAAAATAACTTCTTAAATAAGCAACATTATTTAGTAATTTGTTATGACTCCCTGGGAAATAATCAATCAGCATGGGGAACGCATTGCAGAACTACAAGAGAAAAAAATCATTTATTAAATAAAAATCTTTTAATGAAGACATACATATGATGTGCCAACTCCTGGTTAAAACTGGGGCTATAAATATGAGTAGAAAATGGTCTCCATCTAGACGGGAGCTTCTTACTATACATATAAAATAATTCTCTATGTTTAGAAAGATTAGAGGAAGAAAACTGACCAGATGTTCAAGGACGATAATCATTTCTGATACTCATACATTATTTCTACAGTATAAAGGCATCTTTATATCAATCCTCTCATTTATATCAATTCTTTTCTACAACTTTGAAATATGAATGGCATAAATTACTATGATTCACATTTTGTAGGTGAGCACAGAGGAGGTTAAAGAAGTCTAAGCAACCTGATTGATAATAGAGTACGAAACTAGTCTTGACTGCTTCTACTTCTAGCAAGCTTACTCAGAAATATAATCAGGGTTTTAGAACTGGGAGGGGCTTGAAGACACCATGAAACTGAACTCAGTATTTTGTGGGTAAATACCTGTGCACCAGAGCAGCTAAGTGAGTTCTCTAAGATCACACAATTATCATCCAGGCAGAGTACAGGACATGCCAGCTAAGCACAGGGTAAAGTTGGGAAGATTGATTATGGTTTATACCTTGTAAACCCCAATCATTTTGTCATCTAGGATCCCAACTGAAGCATAACCAAATTTACCTTAGTAACGTATGTGGTCCTAAATAGTCTCCCTCCTTGATGTGCTAATTAGAATATTTCTTCCAAGTTATTTGATGCATAAGTCATTAAGTATTAAATGGAGGACAAGCCTTATTGGTAATGGAAGGCTTTCAACAAGGGCCTTAGACTTCCATTGAGTGATGTGGGCATGCTTTTGGGGTAGTCACTAAAGCACTTTATGGAAACTGGGCTTTGGGATTTAGTGGAAAACCATTGTGCAGGGAGCCAACGGGCTTGAAGAGAGCTCTGTATTCTGAGCATTCATTTAAAGAGTTTGACTGTATTTCCCAGATATTCACTCCATGTTGCTAAGCTCTGGCCAGGACTTTTGTGTTCAAACATTCATTTCACAGCTTGATTCATTACAGAATTTTGCACTTCTCAGAGAAAGGATCTTGGTCTCACCTGCATCCATGGGGAGCTCACAATCTGTGTGTTTTCATCCAATTTTTCTAGCAAGTTCAGAAAATCTTGATCTGTATACTCAAAACGTTTCTGGAAAATAATGGAGCAGATCACATTGCAGGGAGCACAGGCCAGGATGAAAGTGGGATCACAGGGTGAGGCTAAAGAGTTGGAAACATGAAAAAATACCATTAAAATATACATATAAATCTCTTTGTCACTGAAATACTAAGTTTGAAACAACATCTACTTACAAATTCCCTTGTCAGCCAAATACTCAGCATGCCAACAATCCACATGTTGGTTTTCAAACTGAATTGATCATTCCTTCCTACCTAGTTTAATAATGATGTTTCCAATACTCTATTCACTTTTCCTGCATTTATTTACACCATTCTAGATCAAGGTGTGTATAATTTTGGAGGGTAAAGGAAAACAGAATATAAAGACACTGTTTTTCAAAAATATCTAATAATCCTCTTTAAAGTTCTAAACAGCAAAGATGTCACTTTGAGGATGAGGTGAACCTGACCCAAGCCATGGTCTTTTCAATCGCCTCTTGTGTATGTGAAAGGTGCACAATGAGAAAAGAAGACAGAAGAATTGTTGTGTTGAAATAGGGGTGTTAGCAAAGAATATACTATGGAGTGCCAGAAGTATGAATAAATCGGTCTTAGAAGAAATGCAGCCAGAATGCCCCTTAGAGCAAAGACGGCAAGAATTTTTCTTGTTGACTTTATACACATCATCAGGAAATTCCAATCCCTAAATAAAGACATCATGTTTGATAAAGTAGAGGGTCAGCAAAAATGAGGAAAACCCTCAGTGAGCTGTATTTATACAAAGGGCAAGATTTCATTCTATTATACATAAGGTTGACAACATCAACAATAATCCAAGTTGTGATTATAGGATCATATCTGTCTGCAAACCTTGCTGACAATTAAGCACCGATAAGGGAAGGGAGAAAATAGTTAGGGACCTCAACATTTCTTATATATACTGAATAGTTAAAGGAACCATGTGTAGAACCAGCAGAGGGAAAGGTTAAAGAGAGTGTTTACAGGTGAATTCAGGTATTTTAAAGAACAGATGTAAAAAATAAAAAAAATTCCATGCTGTATGAGTAGGAAAACTAACACAAATGAACAGAAATTATAAGAAGACAGTTTGTCTAAAATAAACATAAAATGAGAAATTTTCATTTCATACTTAAATGATATGTAGGGCAAAAAAATGAAAAAGGTAAATTAATGAATGGAATCCTTTTACTTGTTCCTTTCAGTTTGGGAGGGCAGAGATCCTTTCTCATTCTAGGAACCCATCATCTGCAATCAAGAGCCCTGGTGACACAGTGGTTAAGTGCTCGGCTGCTAACCTAAAGGTCAGTGGTTTGAATTCACCAGCGTTCCGAGGGACATGGCATTCTGCTCCCATAAAGAATTACAGCCTTGGATTATTCACAATAGCAAAAAGATGGAAACAACTTAAGTGCTCATCAACAGATGAATGGATAAACAAATTATGGTACATACATGCCATGGAACGCTATGCAACAATAAAGAACAATGATCAACCTGTGAAACATCTCACAACATGCATGAATCTGGAGGGCATTATGCTGAGTGAAATAAGTCAATCACGAAAGGGCAATTATTGTATAAGACCGCTATCATAAAACTCACAAAAAGGTTTATACATGGGGAAAAAAACAAACAAACAAACAAACAAACAAACAAACAAAACCACAACAACCTTTGATGGTTACGAGGGAGGGGAGGGGACAGGAGGGGCAATCACTAAGTAGTTAGCAGACAAGTGTAAACTTTGGTGAAGAGAAAGACAACACACTATATAGGGGAAGTCAGCGGCACATTGACCAAGGGAAAGTCATAGATGCTTTCTAGACACATCCAAACACCCTGAGGGACCAAGTTACTGGGGTTGAGGGCTGGGGACCATAGTATGGGGGGACATCTAGGTCAATTGGTATAACATAGTTCATAAAAATAGTGTTTATATGCTGCTTTTGTGAGTAGCATCTGGGGTTTTAAAATCTTTGGAGTGGCCATCTAAGATATATCTACTGGTCCCATCCGGTCTGGAGTGAAGGAGAATGAAAAAAACCAAAGACACAAGGAAAATAATTAGTCCAAAGGACTAATGGACCACATGAACCACAGCCTTCACCAGCCTGAGCTCAGAAGAAATAGATGGTGCCTAGCCACCACCATTGACTGCTCTGACAGAGATCACAAGAGGGTCCCAGACAGAGTGGGAGAAAAATGTAGAACAAAATTCAATTTCACAAAAAATGACCAGACTTACTGGTCAGACAGAGACTGGAGGAACCACTGGGACTATGGCCCCAGGACACCCTGCTAACTAAGAACTGAAGCCACTCCCAAAGTCCACCTTTCTGCCAAAGATTAGATAGGCCTATAAAACGAACAATAACACATGTGAGGAACATGCTTCATACTTCAGTCAAGTATGCAAGACCAAATGGGTAACACCTGCCCAAAAACAAAGACGAGACGGCAGAAAGGGACAGGAAAACTGGAAGAATGGACACAAGGAGCCCGGAGTGGAAAGAGAGAGAGTGCTGACACATTGTGGGGATTGCAACCAATGTTACAAAACAATTTGTATACAAATTTTTGAATGAGAAACTAATTTGCACTGTAAACTTTCACCTAAAGTCTAATAAAATTTTTTAAAAAAGAATTGCTTAGAAGACACATTAAAAAAAAAAAAAACACTACAGCCTTGGAAACCCTTTGTGTCTCTATGAGTTGGACTTGACTGGACAGCAATGGGTTTTTTGGGTTCATCTCCAATCAGCCCCATAACCGATTTTTTTTTTTTTTGGCCAGGCTCACCCTTTGTGGTCTTGTGGGATATTGCTCTATATAACCATCTACAAAATAACTATGTTATACCAAAAAAAAAAAAAAAAATCCATTGCCGTCTAGTTGATTCCAACTCATAGTGACCCTATAGCACAGAGTGGAACTGTCCCATAGGGTTTCCAAGGAGCAGCTGGTGGATTCAAACTGCTGACCTTTTGGTTAGCAGTCAAGCTCTTGAGCACTGTGCCACCAGGGCTCCATAATTGTTACAGTGAATTTTAAAATTTGATCATCATTTAGGTCAATTCCATCATTTTACAGATAAAGAAATTAAAGAAAATGTTTTATTAGTTTTTGGTTGAGGATTTGTAAAATGAAATTGTTCTAATCAAATGAACTGTAACTTTACAGGTAAAAAGTCCCCAGATTCATATCTATAGATGTAATAAGGGTGACTGAATCAAAAGTGTTGTGAAGATATGATAGAGTATCAAACCATAAGCCTGGAGAGCTAGCTTCTCCTGTCCTATCTGAAACCCAAAACTCTGCAGGGACCCACGCTTTCAGAAAAGTTTTATTTTAGCTTGGTGTCATGGATTGAGTTGCGTCCCCAAAAAATATCTGTCAGCTTGGCTGCATCATGATTCCCAGTGTTGTATGATTGTGTAATCTGATGTGATTTCCTTATGTGTTGTAAACTCTATCACTATGATGAGGTTATATGTGATCTCCTTATGTATTGTAAATTCTGTCACTGTGATGAGGTTATACTGATGAGGTTTACAAGATTAAATAGTGTCTTAAAGAAATCTCTTTTGAGATATAAAAGAGAGAAGTGATCAGAACACACGGGGGCCTCATACCACCAAGAAAGCAGTGCCAGGAGCAGAGCATGTCCTTTGGACCTGAGGTTCCTGCTCAGAGAAGCTCCTAGTCCGGGGGAAGATTGATGATGATGAGGACCTTCCTCCAGAGCCGACAGAGAGAAAAAGCCTTCCCCTGGAGCTGACGCCTTGAATTTGGGCTTCTAGCCTACTAGACTGAGAAAATAAATTTCTCTTTGTGAAAGCCATCCACCTGTGGTATTTCTGTTGGAGCAGCACTAGATGACTAAGACAGTTGGCACTGGGGATATTTTAGGATCTTTTGGGATTTATTTGTGTGTGTGTGGTTCAAAGCTAAAATCTAAATTTCAATCTTTCTTTTCCCTTCACTGAAAGAAGGAAATAAAATCCAGGGTAATTTGGAATCAAAGCTGAAAACCAGTGTTATTTTGAAATGTATTTTATAGTTCAGAAGAGCTGGCAGTGGGAGGTAAAAAATTATCATAAGTGTTCTAACCCAAAATCCAGTTATGGAGTGGAAAAAAGATAAGCAAAGAGAAACAGAAGCAATTTATCATTAGAGAAGATAGAGCAAAGAGTTGTTAATAACAGTTGAAATCTAGTTAAGTAAATTATTTTATAAACTGGTATTTGTGTATTTTGCAGAACTGTGCCATACCATACATTTCTTAAACAAATCAATACAGTTAATAGAGAATAAAATTAAGTAGTTTATGCTGATAGTTTTAAAATATCCTGTGTTCACAGAGAATCACAATTGATGAGAATTTACTAAGAGATGCCTAGGCAATGAAAACCATAGACAAGCATCATGCCTGGTCAGAAATGCAGGCCTGGGCCTTGGCAGAAACCCTCAGACATGTCACTGAGGCTGACCATAACATAGAGTCCAAAGAAGTGAAAGTAAAAAAATGCTTGTGTCATGGTCCATAGGGGTGTGATGAGATAATACCCATGGTGTCCACTTGACAATATTCCCCAGTGAAATGTTCTGGAATAGGTAACCCACAATTATGGCAGGGCAAAACATTGCTTTTAAACTCTAAGAAAATGAGACCCAAAATCTTCTATCTTTGTAACTTTCTCATTTGAAGAAAAACAAAGCCTAGAAAAGAATAGGATTAAAAGAGCCTTTTATACCCATGCTGTGTGCACAATCCTGCGCCCACACACAGAGCATAGATATATAAACGCTCCCTTGTTCTCTCCTTCAAATCCTTCCTCCTCCACCTGTGGATTTATATTCCCTATCCACAAGGAAAGACTTGGCCTCCTCTGAAATGTTTCCAAGGATGCCAATAGAGAAGAGAGCCATCTGTTACGGCCAGTGATACAGAGTAAAGAATCACCCACCGTTGGTTTCTCTCAAGGCCTCCACTAGGCAGCGGGCTTCCTCCTGAATGCGGTCCTCAGTGCTCCTCTTGCCCATCCCAAAATTCCTCAGGGTCATGAGGGAGAAACGTCTGATCTCCTTCCATCTCTTTCCATTGCTGAAAATGACTCCTGCCAGGAGGGAGAACGGAAACTAGAAGGGAGATCCTTGGCAAGGAAGAAGACACTGAACTAGGCAGCCACATGGGTGGGCCAAGTTCTGCCTGAGCAACATTTCAATCTCTGTTTTCTAGTCTTCCCCACACACCATTACCACTGCCCAGTAGGCTGACATGCTCACATACCAAAGTTCTTACTAGCTCTTTCAGCTACTGGAGAATGACCTCTTCCAGAAAATTCTTCTCCCAGATCTATCAGGGCTTCCTTAATTGCTTCATAGCCATGCAACACCACTGTGGGCTTCATGCCAAAATACAGAGTGAACACAGGGCCATAGGCTTTTGAGAACTGGGAAATGGAAAATGGGTGTAAATATTAGCAAAAGAAGTCACTAATCTATAAGCTGAGCAGTAGTCAGACTGATATTGTCATCATATTCTTGATATTTTTATTATACCACATCCAATTTCAAATATTTTTAGTTTTATACAGACAGATGATGGTGATTTTATAGCTGTTATTTAAGAGGTCTCTGATGTGTCAGGCAATCGGACAGACAGTTGTTCCACACATTGTTACCGCTAACTTCATATGAACACCATGCGCAGGTTTACTTACCCCTATTTTACAGAAAAGGAAACTGAGATCCAGAGATGTTCAATTTTGTTTCCAGTGTCTCTCAGCTAATAATTAAAACCTATTGCTGTTGAATTGATTCTGACTCACAGGGCCTTATAAGACAGAGCAGAATTGCCCTAAAGAGTTTCCAAGGCTGCAATCTTTACAAAGCAGACTGCCACATCTTTCTCCCATGGAGGGGTTGGTGGTTTCCAACTGCAGTCCTTTTGGTTAGCAACCGAGTGCTTAACCACCGCTCCATCAGGGCTCCTTCAGCTAATAATCAGAAGACCCGAATTTGAAACTTTTCTTGGTCAATTTATGATACATGGACAATGTTTTATCCCCACTACCCACCTCTGGACCAGTATCCAGCTTACTGACTTATAAACCTCTTCCCATGGAGATTCTATTCAGTAGCACTGTGATGAATACTAGAAATCTATATTTTTAAAAATTAGCCCATATGATTCCAAGCCCAGCCCAGTTTGAGATCCGTGGGTATGGCTAACACAGAAAGACAGGGGGTACCACAGAGGCAGTGCCAGGACAGGCAGCTTTTCATGGAAGAACCATTTCTTCCATCCTGCGGCATTCCCAGGCCACAGATAGCAGCTCTGCGCAGAGTCCAAAAGGATGCTGCCACCACCAGGGCCTCCCTGATTACTGCTTTCTTTCATTCATCTAGGCTTGTTCTTAACCCATTGCTATTTCCTGGACTACAGGTGTAATCTGCTTTAATTTAAATTTAATTTTCATGGCTAACCTGAACAAAACACACGGCTGATACAGTAGATGACTTCCTGAATGAACTTTCTAATCAAACCACTTCCAATATGCTTTACCTTCACCAAAAAATCACAGCAAACCATTGTGAAACAATGAAGGGCATCATGCTCCCTCTGTTTGCCACTTCACCACTTCATTATTCTGATTCTGTATTACAGTGACTGAACAAAATTTTTCTCTTCTCCCAAAATGCATTATTTCATTACTTTATTTCTGAGGATGACAGACCAGGAGGAAAAAAAAAAAAAAAAAAGGAACAGAAATAGCAAAATCCACAGGGAATATTTTAAGATGATTTATTTTAATACTTTATTTCTAGGAGTACATTATATTTTAAAAACCAAGTTAAAAAAAAAAAAAAACCCTTTGCAGTCGAGTTGATTCTGACTCATAGTGACCCTCTAGAACAGAGTAGAACTGCCCCGTAGGGTTTCTAGAGTGTCTGGTGGATTTGAACTGCCAACCTTTTGGTTAGCAGCTGTAGCTCTTAACCACTATGCAACTAATTTACTTACCCCCTGCAAACTACTGGGGGAGCATAAAGCATACTTACATTGCGTAGGGAACTGCTGATGTCCTTCACATCTACATGTAGGATATTTCCAATAATTGGGAGAGGAGTGGGGCCGGGCGGGAGCTTCCCTTTCCCATAGCTCTGTTTCCAGAGAGAAAAGAGAAGCAAACTGGAGAGACAAATCACCAGGATCACCACTGGATCCATTGAAGCCTTCTCTTCTTACTCAGGCAACTATAGGCTTCTAATCCAAAGATCTTCAATACTCCCTACTGCTTAACTTGTGATTCTGATGAATAAGGTGACCAATCAGATAGATGTGCTGTAATCCCTTCTGAGCAGACTTTGGCCCACTGATAGAGATACAAATAAAGTGTCATTTCATCTTCCTCTCTTTCTTTCCACCACCAATGCCCCAGCCTGTAGGTTTTAATTTAACCAGTATAGGGTTGAGCCCAGTTACTGGTTAAAAAAAAAAAAAAATTAAGAAAACACCACTTGTGGTTCCAATGTGCAGCTAGCATTAACTACTGAAGTAAATGACTTGATAGAAAATATTGTACAGCATTCTGAATTCTCAGACTAATGACCAGCTGGGAATTTATGTCTTTGAGGGAGTCAGTGTATTCCATGTCTTGTGTATAAAAATGCTGTCCTGTATGGCTTTATGAAATATTAGAAGACATTAATGTTGAAAATGGAAGACTTTTGAACTATTTTAATGTATTATGTTAACATATCTTTGTCTAAATATAAGATACCTTGCATAACTCATGCACCTCGAATGACCAAATATGTATCAAGTAATTATTATATGCTAAGTAAATTTATACCTCTTTTATCATTAAAGTCTACCCTCCCCACCAATTCACTAGAAGGTTGAGATGATTTTTTTTTTTTTTTTTCAAATGGAAAGGAGGACACTGGGAGAGCAGCCTTCCAGTATCACACGACCCCTATGTGGCAGAACTGGGATTTGAGTGAGACCTTCTGATGCCCATGTGGAGTGCTAGCTCTTAAACCACAGCTAACTCAAGAATAAAACTTAGCACAACAAAACAAAACCCCAAAATATTAGTTACTCTGAATATACTCCCCACTGACTCTGTTCACAACACTGAAGGCTTCACATTAAATATATAAAATACAAGCAGTTTCCCTAGTCAATTCCAACTCATGGCAACCCCATATGTGTCAGAGTAGAATTGTGCTCCATACAGTTTTCAACAGCTGATTTTTTGTAAGTAGATAGCCAGGGCTTCCTTCCTGGGAACACTTATATGGCCTTGAACTCCCAACCTTTCAGTTAGCAGCTGAGCGTGTTAACTGTTTGCACTACCCAAGGACTCCTCTCATTAAATAGAAGCCCATATTTGATTCCACAGATAATAACACCATAGGTGCTCAAGATAAAACGTGTCTCCCCTCTCCATCGCTGCAGAGATGAAGTGTGCTCAGCATAACTGAGGGAAGAGCCAGTCTCAGAGGAATTTGGTGGGAAAGGCTTGAGAATCTATGGTTTCCCCCACCTCCCAGTTACCTCCTCACCCAGATGCTTCTGTTGCTTTTTTGATCTGTCTTTGTCAGAAATAATGGAATGAACTAATGCCGAGCAAGGAAGGGAGATTATAGGAAGAACAACAGTTGTGTGCTTTGGTGCAAAAGGGGAGTAGAGACTTTATTAAACAGACACACAGCACAGAATGAACACAATGTGCACACATCACAGAACTAAACGGGAGATGACACTTAGTGGACATGAGGATCTAAATATAACTGGATTGATATACACTACTTTATCACTCATGGCAATGCTTGTACAAAGGAGTGTTCTGTAAAGATATTGTCACATTTGATAGTTATTAGTGAAGTTGTTTTTAAGATCTTTTATTAAGGGAAAATTACTTTGTCAATTCAAAATATCTTACCCCTTAGGTTTACAAAACAAACTCGTTGCTGTCCAGTGGATTCTAACTCATAACGACCCTATCGGAAAGAGTAGAAATGCCCCATAGGGTTTCCAAGGAGCGACTGGTGGATTCCAACTGCTGACCTTTTGGTTAGCAGCAGAGTTCTTAACCACTAAGCCACCACGACTAATGTTTACATTAGAGATTGGCAATTTAGAGAGAATTTTCACACCCATAATATCTCTTTTGATTTCCTCAATTGTATGCCTATTCTAAAATTATTCCACTTCAGAGATGAGTAAGTTGGGCCTATGAGATTCACTGCCTTGTTCAAGGACACACAGTCTGAGCATTGAACATTGAACATTCAGTTCAAGAGGTCACCAACATTTACTAAGTGTGTACTATGATGCAGCATTTCATGATCTATCCTAACCAATGACTTTGAAAATAAACAATAACTGAGTTAATAATTGCAGCACAAATGGGAGGTCAGTAAAGTTTGATTTTGTAACCCTTAGAACTTGAGTGAGCCCGGGTGACCTGGAACTCTTTGTCCAAGACAAAGAGAAGCAGTGATTTAGCTGCTTGACTCACAGAGCCCTGGATGCTAAAAGCATCACATTACTTTATTTGAATAAAATAAACTCCACTGGTCTCTTTAGAGAAATCATTTTATTCCAGAGAGATGGGCGTCTTTGCTCTGCTTCTCCTTCCTTCTCCTGAGGTTCCTCCTGGGCCCTTTCTTGTTGTATAGAATGAGGGAACTGTAGATATTTTAGAGACAGAAGGATCTCAGATCCAACAGTCTGATCATTGCTGTATTTATTTATTTATTTTCCTTTTTTTGATTGTGCTTTAGATGAAGCTTTACATAGCAACCAAGTTTCTCGTTAAACAATACACGTATCGTTTAGTGACACTGTTTGTCAAACCCAGGACGTGTCAACACTCTCCCTTTCTCAACCTTGGATTCTCCACTGCCAGCTTTGCTTTCCCCTCCTGCCTTGTCATCCTTGCCCCTGGGCTGGTGTGCATATTTAGTCTCATTTTGTTTTATGGGCCTGTCAATTCTTTGGCTGAAGGGTGAACCTCAGGAGTGATTTCATTACTGAGCTAAAAGGAGTGATTTCATTACTGAGCTAAAAGGGTGTCCGGGGGCCATAGTCTGGGGTTTCTCCAGTCTCTGTCAGACCAGTAAGTCTGCTCTTTTTTTCTTTTTTTTTTTTTTTGAGTTAGAATTTTGTTCTACATTTTTCTCCAACTCTGTCCAGGACACTCTACTGTGATCCCTCTCAGAGCAGTTGGTGGTGGTAGCTGGGCACCGTCCAGTTGTGCTAGACTCAGTGTGGTGGAGGCTGTGGTAGTTGTGTTTTTGGTTTTCTTCACTCTCCCTTGCTCCAGATGGGATGGGACAAGTGGAGTATCTTAGATGGTTGCTCACAAGGTTTTAATACCCCAGATGCTACTCATCAAAGTAGGATGTAGAACATTTTAGATATCCCCTGAGACTATGGTCCCCAGCCCTCAGCCCAGTAATTCAGTCTCTCAGGGAGTTTGGATATGTCTATGAAGCTTCCATGACCTTGCCTTGTCAAGATGTGCTGACTTCCCCAGTATTGTATACTGTCTTACCCTTCACCAAAGTTACCACTTATCTATTGTTTATTTAGTATTTTTCCCTCCCCTCCCTTGTAACCATCAAAGATTATTTCTTTCTGTGTGTAAACCTTTTCATGAGTTTTTATAATAGTGGTCTCGTACAATATTTGTCCTTCATGATTGACTTATTTCACTCAGTATAATGCCCTCCAGATTCATCCTTGTTGTGAGATGTTTCGTGGATTCATCATTGTTCTTTATCATTGCGAAGTAGTCCATTGTGTGTATGTACCATAGTTTGTTTATCCATTCATCTGTTGATGGGCACTGAGGTTGTTTCCATCTTTTTGCCATTGTGAACAGTGCTGCAAAGAACATGGGCGTGCATATTCTATTGGTGTAATGGCTCTCATTTCTCTAGGATATATTCCTAGAAGTAGGATTGCTGATTCATATGGTATTTTTATTTCTAGCTTTTTAAGGAAGTGCCATAGTGTTTCCTAAAATGGTTGTACCATTTTGCAATCCCAGCAGCACTGCATAAGAGTTCCAATCTCCCCTCAGCCTCTCCAATATTTGCTATTTTCTGTTTTTTTGATTCGTGCCAGTAACGCCGGGGTGAGATGGTATCTCATTGTGGCTTTGATTTACAGTTGTCAAATGGCTAGTGATCATGAGCATTTCCTCATGTGTCTGTTAGCTGCCTGAATGTCTTCTTTGGCAAAGTATCTGTTCATAACTTTGGCTTATTTTTTAAGTGGATTGTTTGTTTTATTTTTGTTGTAGAGTTGTTGGATTTTTCTATAGATTTTAGAGATTAGACCTTTGTCAGATCTATCATAGCCAAAATTTTTTTCCCAGTCTGTAGGTTCTCTTTTTGCTCTTTTGGTGAAGTCTTTTGATGAGCATAAGTGTTTAATTTTTGTAAGATCCCAGTTACCTAGCTTATCTTCTGGTGTTTATGTATTGTTAGTTATAGTTTGTATCCTGTTTATGCCATGTATTAGGGACTCTAGCACTGATCCTATTTTTTCTTTTATAATCTTTATAGTTTTTGGTTTTATATTTAGATCTGTGATCAGTTTTGAATTAGTTTTTGTGTACAGTGTGAGATATGGGTCCTGTTTCATTTTTTGCAGATGGACATCCAGTTTTGCTGGCACTATTTTTTAAAAAGACTGACTTTTCCCCATTTGATGGACTTTAGGCCTTTGTCGAAGATTAGGTGACTGTAGGTGGATGGATTTACATTTAGGTTTTCAATTCTGTTCATTGATGGTCAGTGTGTCTGTTGTTGTACCAGCACCAGGCTTTTTGACTACTGTAGCTGTATAGTGGGTTCTGAGGTCAAGAGGTGTGAGGCCTCCTACTTTATTCTTCTTCCATAGTGCTTTACTTATCTGAGGCCTCTTCCCTTTCCATATGAAATTAATGATTAGTTTTTTCATCTCCTTGAAAAATGCTGATAGTATTTGGATCGGAATGGCATTGTATTTGTAAATTGATTCGGGTGGATTGACATTTTCACAACATTGAGTCTACCTTTCCATAGCATGGTATGTTTTTCTATTTGGTAGTTCTTTTTTGGTTTCTTGCAGTAGTGCTTTGTAGTTTTCTTTGTATAGGTCT